GCTGGGCCCCTCGTGTGATTTTTCTCGGGGCCGCCGGCGATCGGGACGCCTCGGGACTGCCCCTGGTTTGTGATCACCCCGTTAGTGACCGGAAGCGGCGCTCACCTGCCAGCCGGTTCACCCTTACACTGGAGAAGGCCGGCCGACGTATTGTTTTAGGATAATAAAGGCCCGTTTGGTCCGCTGGACGGAAGGGGAGCAGAACTAAAAGGAACATTTGTGTGCCCGCCTCCGGTAAGTGGGGTGCGTTATAAAACCAGCGACCCGCTGGCTGGAGGAGCCTTCCCGCGGAGACGGCGGGCTCTCCGAGGGCTTCCCTGGGAGTTTCCAGGCTCCAGGACGTAAAGTGTAATTTCGGGAAATCCAGTGTGAGAAGCTGCGCGGTGTGAGATAACAGGATGGGAAAGTTCTAATGGGACCACCAAACAATGACACGTGGAAAGAACGGGTCTCCTTTTGTGAAAAAAAAAATGAAAACAGATATGAAGAAAGAGGAAGGAAAGACCCCTTTTTGCGTGTGCTTGTGTTTCATGTTGAGCAACAAAGGAAGTAATAAGTGAGAAGACTGCAGTCGGCAATAGAGAATTTCTGTCTGAGGGACAATTGGATCCTTTTTCTGCTTAAGATTCAGCAGGTTTTTTGGTTGTATTTTGTGTGTGTTTGTTTTTGGCTTAAAGTGTAAATGCCACAGTGTTTATAACTGAGAACTTTTCACATTTGTTCCTGTTCCAGTATTTTGGGTTTCTGTCAGCTTTTGGATAGATAAAGCTTTTGAGAGGAATAAGGTGCCATTGTTATAATAAATTGTAATAAAATAGTAAGTTGTGAGTGGAGGATTTATAGTTATAAGAAAGAATTTGGAAATGCTAATTGAGTTTCTTCAGATTTAAGTGATGAGAGAGAGAGCACATTAACTACAGTTCCATCTGTTTATCGATTGACACGGGCAGGGAGATATTCTTTTTGCTACAAGCTTTTACTGTGTGTTGTTGGGAAAGGTACTAAAGGAGTTCTGTAGTTCCTTGTTTTATTTCTTTGCATCTTATAAAGGTAGGAAACTATGTGTGAAGTTGAGATCTTTAATTTACTTAATAAAATACTGTATTCGCTAGCTTTTAATAGGAAAGTTATCTTGTCATACAGTTCATAAGGCATTAGTCTTTGAGTTAATGAATACTGCTGGACATTCCTAATTATGTCTCTTTTTTCTTTAAACGTTTGACCATGAGTTCATATAACTTACTTGAAAGTGTATTTGATTTCTACTCCCATTGGTGGGAAGGGGTGGAAGTAGAGAAATACATATTTTGCTTTCTAGGGTCCACCATTTAGTAAAGTAGTTAAACCAAATTAGGGTTTAACTTCACTCAGTGACTCCAGTTATGTGACAGCTGGTAATATTTACTTACTGATAGAGCAGCGATTTTCAACCAGTGTGCCTCTGGCTGCAGTAACTTAAAAATATATATATTTTTATTGATTTCAGAGAGTAAGGGAGAGGGAGAGAGAGACAGAATCGTCAGTGATGAGAATCATTGATTGGCTGCCTCCTGCACGCCCCCGACTGGTTATCTAGCCCACAACCCCGACATGTGGGAATCCTGGTTCATAGGTTGATATGCTCAACCACTGAGCCACAACAGTCGAGCTGCTGCAAGAATTTTTAAAATAAGCAATACTTGACTAGTCAGAGACACTGACCTTTTCCCTTAGATTGTCAAATAAAAAAATGACAACTAACACAATAGCTATCCAACATGAATGAATCAAAATTATACCTTTTTGTCAGATCAGTAAAAAATATAACAATTTTTTGTTTTCCACAGAATTTTAGTAATTACTTTATGTGTGCTGTGAGATGGAAAAGGTTGAAAACCACTGCTGATAGAGACAGACTAGATCTGTGGCCAGAGGGCTCATAGAGCAATCTTAAACATGCTTATGGATCTTAACGCATGTGAATTTCTTTTTCCTGACCATATGTAGCTTGTTGTTTCATCAATATGAAAAGCATTATTACATTAATAGTTACAATGGAATTTTAATAGTATGATTAAGAAAAATATTTCCCTTTTCAGCCCTACAACGAGCTCTACTCTTGAATAAGTTCTCATCCCTAAGTGAAAATTGGTTTCTTAGATTTAGAGGGAGGAGAGGGATTTAAAAAAAAACCCACACAAACCTTAGTCATTGCTGTTATTTCCTGTTCCTACTTCCATGGGATCTAGGTTGTAGGACAAGTCAGGGAATGTTGTTTTCTCTTCCCTTTCTTAGTCACAGCTGGGGAACTGTGAGAAGCAGAGGTCAGGACGTAGTCAAGGATATTTTGTTTTTATGCATCCTGGTTTTAGTGCACTATTAAGTTGAATTTTGCATTCATTTTTCCATGTTGAAAAAGGTCAAATCAATGCAAAATTATGTTTTGAATTCATGAAATTCCATGTGTTAATTCTACTTCTTTTAAAATATTATTGATCCCACGAGACTTTTTTTTTTTTTTACAAAAACACCTCCACACAACAAAATCAAGTATAGGCTATTTCCTTGGTTGACAGAAATGATTAGTAATAGATTATTCAGTTATTTTAATAGAAATACTATTTCCTTCTTAGTTTCAGCCCTTGTTGACAACTCTTTCTAAAAGAATCTATGTGTGTGTTTCTAAATGATCACCTCAGGATGGACATTCTGACTAGGAATTCTTATGTGATTTGGAGTAATTATTCCTCCACATATAAAGAAGTACCTGGGGTAGTAAGTTCTTTTTCTGTTGTTGCAAATATTCTTCTCTTACTGCACTACTGAGGATATTATACTCCCTTCTCACTCGCTATTTTTTTCTCTTGTTATTCTGGAGTCTTCTCTTTGGGCAAGTTACCTTAATGGGAGAGTTTTTTGTTAACTAGGGTCAATTACCCATTTATTCAACAAATATTTACTAAAGATCTATTAAGTTCAAGATAAGGTGCCAAGAGTAATGAGGCTGCATGCCATAGAAATATTAATCTAACTCAGTGCCCTGTAAAAAAAAACACCAAAACACAAAACCCCAAATGGTTCACAGGCCAAATAGGTTTTGGAAATGGGCATACTTTGTTTTGTTAGAGATGTACGATATACCTTAGCATGTTAGAAATTCTGAGATGTTCATTTCTAAGCTTTTTTGACCATGAAACGTTTATTTTGTAGTGTTTATTAATTTTGTGAATTCCATGTACATACTTTGGAAAATGTTGAAGTATATATAGAACCTGCCCTTATTGTTAAGTAGAGGGAGGGGAAAAATAGATACATAACTACACTAGAGACCTGATGCATGAAATTCCTGCAAGGGCCTTGGCCCCTGCTGCAGTGGCGGCCGCCCACTACAGCTTTGTCTCAAAGGACAGACAATCCAGAAGGACGTGTGGTCTAATTAGCATATTACACTTTTATTATTATAGATACTCTTGAAATAAAGTTATAAATGGTGTCAGGCCTAGATAAAGTGATATAGGAATTGAGAGGGTGGGAAAATTACCTCTAGAAATGTGAAAGGATTAGGTGTCGTTTGAATGATATACAGAGGATAAGTTTTGAATTTGTGGAACTGGGTGGAGGGATTTTCTAATAAAGTAGACAGTAAAATCCAAGCCATAAAGGGAGGTAAGGGTAGACCCTGGGGACAGAGGAAGAGTTCATTTTGGCTGGAGTGTAACATGCACTAAGAAGAGGAATGACATGCAAGGAAAATTGGGGGTTAATTGTATAGGTCCTGAATGCCAGAATTAGGAATTAGTTGTTGTTTTTTCTTTATTGTAAATGTTGATGCCTTGGTAATAGTATTTGAGATCATGTAATTTGACTGTGGTGACAATGGCTCTTTGACTTCCAGGTTGGAATTTGAATAGCCAAGAACACATTTTTTATGCACAAATTTATGTCTCTTAGATTTTCAAACTAAGTAACTTAAACATATTTATGGAAAGATCTCTTGTTAATGTGATAAATATATATTGATGAATGTGAGATATACAAGTAAGGACCACTCCTTTACCTTTAAGGTGCTGAAATGCTGCTTGTTTCAGCCATATTAGCTGTTAAATAAATGTTTAAAGGTTTTAAGAGATGTGGCCAGGAGCCGAGTACAGAGACAAAAATATGTATTTCTTATATCACATCATCACAGGGAGATTATTCGTTAAGAAACAGTGCAGTGGGAGTACAGAATCTTTTCCTTGGATAATTAGGAGAGGTTTTATATAGTAATCACATAAATTGCATGATGATAGATGAGTGGAAACTTTTTGGAAATGGGCATTCCAAGGCAGAGGTGGAAGATGACTACAACTTGTAAGGTGAGGTGTATTCAGAGTACTGAGGAGAGATAGAATCTGTATTTGCATGTTTTAGGTGTGGAAGTGGTAGCTCACAACAAGACATTGAGATTTCAGGGGCCGTTGGGGGGAACTTTGAGAAGGCTTTATAAAGTCTATGCTTAAGGGAGTTGACATGCCTTTTTTTGGGAGAGAGGGGGAGTGGAGAGACAGATATGGGTGGTTGTAACACATTGTACTGGA